TATTCAGGCCTCTTTCTGAATCAGTTTTGGAATTCCTCTTTCATGAATGTGTTTTTGAAGTATGATAAAAAATAACGTGAATGTTGCTCTCCAGTGACGTCAAGCAGAGGCTCACAAAAACATTGAGAGCGTCTTTGTCCATCTCATTCACCAGATTTGGCATTGTGCAGCCTCTGGTTCTCCTCCAAGGCCAAAATGACCATGAAATGTAAACCTTGTGAATTGATCTAGGACATCAAGGTAGCGATGACAGCACAATGAAAGACACAACTGAGACCTGCTAGAACTGCTTCAGAAAGTGCCGAGAATGACGGAGGCACACCAAGTGGAGCAGAGTAATTTCAAAGGGAATCAGCACAAGGTGTCTTGTACTGTAACATATTTTTTAAAAAATTAAATGCTCACCTTATTTTTGGTTCACACCTCATATATCAATAGAAATTTTTAAACTTAAAGGGAAAAATAAAAGGAGCAACAAAATATGAATGATATCTGATGCAATATTGACTAACATAAATTAAAATATCAGAAAAGAGAGAAAAAAACCACAGGAGCAGAAATTTTTTTTTTTTTTCAAAAATAATGCTACAAATGTTCCAAACTTGATGAAAATGAAAGTGGTGGCTTAACTGATGGTCAGTTTGCAGCACCCCCCCGAACTGAATCAGCATGGTGCTTGGTGTGGAAGGCCTGGCTGAAATTATTGTCAACAGCATAAAGGAGACCAGGAGGGGAAGCTGGTGTGCTCTTGATTCTGCTGGAGAGGCTTGTCATGCTGGATTTCCTGATATGAACTTGTCTTTTACTGTCAGAGGAACTCGAATTCTCACTGTCCTTGATGATGGCTGCAGTTCTCTTTAGGGGAGCTCTGGTCCTTACCTTGAGCGGTCCTTACCTTCGAGCTCCCATGCAAATTCCTCAGCCAGGTAACACAGATGCTTTGCCCTGTTGCCAGAAACTTCTAGCTTCCACCACTGACCTTCAGGCCTTCAGGCCTTCAGGTGCTGATCCTTGATTCAGGCTTGCATGAGAAATTGTCATAGGCTCTGGCCTCCAGCTGGAGTCATGGGCTCTAGGTCTACCATGGGCTTTAGGTCTACAACTGGACTCATGAAGGACATTGCTTGGGATTCAGGCCCTCAGCTGGATTCTTTGGGTCTCAAGTGTGTGGACAGATCTCCTACACTTTTTTGCATTTGACTCTGTGGGTGAATATTATAAAATAATCCTACAAATTATGCATCCTGTATGAAAATTTTCCCTGTAAACCTTGACTACAATGAGTGACACACAAATTTAGGAAGCTCAATGAGTCCCAAAAATAAGAAATATAAAACTAACTACAAAAAGGCGCTACCTAGTCAAACTGCAAGAGATCAATAACAAAAGTCAAATTTTAGAACCAGCCAGAAAAAAGATTATTATGAAAAGAAAATTTCTACAACTGATCACCAGAAATAACACAAACTATAAGGTGCTGCAGGGACATAATTCAAGATGAAAGGAAAGCAAAAAACAATCTAAAGAATTGTATATCTACAGCTGGATACTTTACAAAAAGGGCAAAATAAAGACTGAAGAAGACAAACACAGATAATTCATCATTATTAGACAAATACTACAAAAAAATTTAAAGGAAGTTCTGACAAAGCCTCATGAGGAAATCTGGACCTTAAAAAATAACAGACTCAAATAATTCATAAGCAAGTAAACATACAATTTATTTTACCTCACTTTAAAAACAGGTATAAGAAGTTCTGATTTGCTATTGCATAGTAAGGTGAATAGAGATGATTATAATATACTATATATTCAAAAAGCTAGAATAAATTATTTTGAAAATTTTCATCATTAAAAAGTAATCCAAACAAAAAAGTGATCAATATTGGTGGTAATAGATGTTTACCCTAATATAAATATTACAGGATGTATACATGAACACAAACATCACAGTTTACCTCTTCATATGTAATATATATACACACACATCAGTTAAAATAATGTATTTTTAAAAATTTAAATATAATTGGCCATTTTTCAAGATTATAATGCAGAGAGAAATACAATGTGTGACAACAGTATGAAGTCCAGGATAGAATAAAATATAAACATAATAGAATGTTCTTATGCTACAGATATGGTTATATATTATTTGAAAGTAGACAGTGATATGTTAAATATGTAGACAATAAACCCTAATTAGAGAACTTGCTGAAAAAATAAAAACAAAAAGCCCAAAGAGATAAATAAGGCAATAAAGTGACTAAAACTGAAACACAGAAACACTCAATTCATCTTAGATAAAAGATTTGTTATTTTTCTAACACTGGGTCAAAAAAAAAAAAATCAACCCATGATGTATCAGAGGACACACCTAAAATTTATATCTCACACAGTTTCTGAGAGGTATGAATTCACGAATGCCTTCGGGGTGGTTTTGACTCAGTCCCTCTCATGAACTTGTGATCAGGGACATGAAGAACTGGAAATTTCAGCGACTTCCCCTCACTCGCTGATCCAGCTGGCAGGTGAACAGTTAGGGAGCACACAGAAGACTCAGAAAGCAGCATAACCAAAGTGGCGTAAGCAACGTTTCTAACATATTGCTTCCAAAACAGATTATATACACGTTTTAAGTGATGTCAAATATGTATGCAAATTAACACATTTTGTATCATAAAACTGATATTCACAAATTTAATAGTTTTTTTTAATTGCAATGGAAAACTAGAAATCAGTGACAACATATTTGGAAGTCCCACAAATATTTGGAAACTCAATGGCAAGTTTCTAAACAGCTGTTGTCAACATAGAAATACATAAAAAAAGAGAAAGTATATAAAATTGAATAAAATTAAAACATGATATAACAAAAAGTATTGGTTATAAACTTTCTTTTCTTTTCTTTTCTTTTTTCTTTTCTTTTCTTTGTGTGTGTGTTTTCCTCTTTTAGAGGCAGGGTCTCACTATGCAGTTCAGGCTGGCCTTGAACTCACATTGTAGCCCAGGCTGGTCTTGAATTTGAAATGATCCTCTTGCCTCAGCCTCCTGAGTGGTGGGATTACAGGCATGAGCCACCACACCTGGTTTAGAGTGGATTTTTCCTCAAAGCAATCAATAAAATCTACACTAAACTAACATGACAAACTCCTCCGGGAGAACCGATAGTTCCAAACAGCAGCAAGCTCTCTTACAAGAACCCACCACACTCTTCCTCTCAGGTCTCCTTTCTATGCTGACAGCAGTCCTCAGGTGGCCAGCCACACTCAGCACCGTGCTTATTCACTTCAGCTGTGTTAACCTGACCACAAGTTTTTAATCCACCACAGTGAGAAAAACCAAAGACCTAAATAAATGCAGATATATTCGGTGATTGAGCATTAAACAGTCAGAATAATGAAAATATCAGTTGTACTCCAAGGTTATACCAATCCAGCACAACACAATCCATATAGTTTTCAAATCCATACAGAGAAGCCAACAAACCCTAGAATACCTAAAACAATTTTAAAAAAGAATCAAGGTGGATGGCTTAAACTCTTAGACTTCAGGATTATTATACAGTCAGAATAACTGAGTCTAGAAGTAGACCCAAACTTCCATAGTTAGCTGATATCTAACAACTGTTCAGTGGAAGAATTATCTGTCCAACAAATAGTATATAACAAGTGGATATTCATAAGCAAAACATAAAAGTGGACACATTTCACATCATGAACTGGAAACAGTAAATCTAAATGCAAAGCTAAAAGTGTAAAACTTCTAAAAGAAATCATGAGGAAAAGTACTAATATCTTGCATTAGGACACAAGAACTATGAGATTTAAAAATTCAGTAAGACTTCATGAAATTGAAAAATTTTGTTCTTTAAGTGAAAATTAAACATGAAACCACAGACTGGAAGAAATGCACATCTAACAAAGGATTTTATCCAGAAAACACAAAGAACCCCCACAAATCAACAATAAAAAGACAACCAATTGTTTATTATATTTTTAATTCTCAAACTTATAAAGTGGTTACAGTCCATTTTTTAAAATAATGAACTTACTGCTCTAAGTCACAGTAAATGTAGGAAAAAATGATTAATTCTCTGTTCTTCCGGATATCAACTACATCACTCTCCTAAAAAGCACTACTTTTCAGACAACTACAATAAAGTTACCTATTATATAAAATGCTTATATAAAATGTGTTACAAAAAAATTGGATGATTAGGCATCAGAGTTCCTCAACACACATACACATACACACACCATGACTCTTCTCCCTCAATTTTCAAACATTTCCTCAGAGGAACTATGCTCCTACAGTGTCTCAATAAAATGTCAGAAGAATCCGCTGTTTTATGGTATTTCCCCAAGTTAAAAGAAAACACAAGACTCCGTGTTTTAAAATTATTAGGAATCTCGTGCCAGTAGCAGCGGAACATTAACCCAAGCACGCTGCCTTCTACACACAGGAAGCTGCCCTGTGTGATTCTTCCCATAGAAATCATCACTCGCTAATGACAGACGACAATGTTACCTCATCGTGTACTACATTTGAGGCCTCCCATGGAACTGGGAGGCCCCTGAGGCCTTGGGGGCCACCACTGAGTTTGCAACTCAGTGATTGAGACACAGGCAAAGCAACAGTCAAGCACACAGAGATTATGGTTAAATATTGTCACCTATATCGGGGCCAGAGTTGATACGGAAAAGCACAAATCAAATGGTATGACATTTAGAAGCAAACCTACAAAAGTAGGCTTCCCTGAAGGACCAACTGGAAAACCCACGCTTGCTCATAGAAGGACTTGTAAACCTGAAACTATAGAACACACACTCCCCCCCCCCATGGCTTCTTCCTTAATTTCAAAATTTTCTTGGAGGCACTATGCACAGATAGGATCTTAACGAGATCTCAGAAGAATCTGTGAGACAAGATATAGAGGTTCTCTTGACCAAAACAGAAGGAAGCGGGTAACACTGTGTTCAGTGCCTTCTTTTTCAACTTACCCGATATGGGAATGTCTCATCTGCCCTGGCAGAAAGTCAGGAAGAATGGGACCGGAAGCCAGGAGGACTGTTACTAACCGAGGTTCCTCCAGAGAGCCAAACAATGAGAGAAGAGTTCCAACTTCTTCTGATAGAAGGCAGCGTTCGCACTTTTGGGGTTCCCACAACTCCAAGATCAGTGTCCAGCTCGAAACACATTAGTAAATAAAGTTATAAACTGTCAGAATGATGCCTTCCAAAGAGAGATCAGCTTTTAGAGTCAGCTCTGAAACCTGCTTCTGATCCTTTATAACAGTAAGCCCTTAGGCAAGTAATTTAGCCTTTTTGATGTCATCAGTTGTAAAATCCAGATGGCAAATACCTAGCTCAGGTGAGTCTCCTGAAGGTTAAGTATCTGTCAAGAGTTTATCCTAATAAGTTTGGGAGGTAGAGGCATTCAAATCCATGAGCTACTTTTCTTCTTTCTCCATAATAGAATGTATCCTCAAAGAAAAAAAAAAGCTAGAACATATTCTTGTTTACGATCCCACCTATAAGTGTTTTTCTCTCAGGGAAAAAAATGTGTTTCTGTTCAAGCCTTCCCCTCCCCTAACAAAGGCGAATTCAGTCACGTGCAGAGAGGGGCTAGAGAGTCAGACAGGAGGGATTTAGGAGGAAAGGTCTGGGAAAATGAGGGCCTCTCGGGATTTTCCTGTTGGCATTATTTACAATAGGACACCCACCAGCCTTGTCCCATGGCTAATCCTCTTCTCCTGAAACATCCTCACAGGGATACAGCAAATACCCCTTAAATAGCAAAGGTAACTGGAAACAGGAAAATAAATAAGAAAGATCCATGCTCTGATTGCCTTGCCTCTAAAATAAATGAAATGGGAATCAAAATCTGTGACTTTGCAGTGTGATGGTTAGAGAATTAAAATCTACTGTGCTTGTTTTTAATTACTCTTTAAAGACACAGAATTACAAGACATTCAGTCGCTTAGAGTAGTGCAGGCAGAATTGCTTTATCCGAGTAAAGTCACCTTTACCTTTCTAAACATTTGTTTCTTGAAGGCACACTGGAAAATAGTCCCAAGAAGTTAGATTCCACCCATAAGGAGATATCTTCAGAAAAATAAATGGCCGAATTCCTGCGCCACCTTGCCTGAGGTGAAAAGTGTGAATCAACCCCATTGTAAGGAAACAGACACAAGAGATACTGAAGAAGAAAACCAGTCCTTTGAGAATATGGAGAAGCAATTTGGTGTGGAAGAAATAACACAGCCTTTGGGAACAGGCTGACTGAAGTTGAATCCCAATTCTATTTCCTTATTGAGAGACCCACCATGAGCACACATTCTTTCTATTTAGAACTAATAGTATTTACGTAGTTCATGGCTTTTGTAGGAATTTAAAGAGCAACTCTGTAGAAGGTATCATAGCAGAGTGGTTAAATAACAAGGTTTCCAAACTGGTTTTGAAGTTAAAGGATAACTTAGCAGTGTAATTGCATTTAGTGTGTCCCTCAGATTCCTCATTTATATGGAGGACTATTAATGTTACCTATTCTACAGAATCACTGTGAGAAATAAATGAACTAACATACATACAGTGTGTGGCATTGAAAAAGCACAAAATAGCTTTTCACTGCAACTTAAAATACCCACCAATAGGAAATTAGATTCTTTCTCCTGTTCAATATCATCTCATTCATCAGGACAAAGGTTGTGCAGACATGCATATAATTTGAAGAGTTCCACATTAACTTTTCCTTTAAAACCATTTCCCTAATAGACTGCAGCAAACACTGTTAACCAATATTTTGATGGAAAGCATCCTCTATTATGACAGAAATAGCATCATCTGGAAAGATTATATTATCTGCTTTTGCAAGCTGATTTTATCAATAGAGTTCCAATTGCTCAAAAAGTTGAAGAATTGATATAAGACCTTGGAGAGGTAAGTTTTGAGAAGATAATAGGAAAGCACACGGATTGCTTAGGAGAAATCTGGTTTAGATGTAAAAAGCAAATGGGGGAACTCACACCATCACGAGGAACAGGACTGGTGTCAAATACCAGTAGGACTTAAGGTTGGAGTCCTTGGATACCACCTTGAATTCCCCTTCTCTCTACTTATGTCATTACTGTATCTTCTTAGCTGTAGTCAGCAATGATCTCAGGAGTGCAGGTATCTCCTCAAGATACAGATTTCATTTCTTTTGAATATATCCAGAAATGGAATCCTGGATGACAAATTAGTTCTATGTTTAGTTTTTGAAAAAACATTGTACTGTTTTCCATAGTAGTTGTACCAATTTACATCACCACTAACTAGTGTTCCAGTTTTCTATTCCTTTGTCAATACTTGTTCTCCCCCACCCCACCCCACGCCGTGCACGCACGCGCGTGTGTGGTGTGTGTGTGTGTGTGTCTCCCCACTGTTTCTCTCCCTCCCTCCCTTTACCCCTCTTCTCTCCCTCCATCTCCTGAAAATAAGCATGTAACAGGTGGGAGGTGATAGCTCACTGTGGTTTTGACTTGCATTTCTCTGATAATTAATGAGTCATGCAGAGGATAAAAATAATTAATGTTTATTTCAAGCTTACTAACTGCCAGACACAATTCTGTGTACTTCACATGCTCTAATAACTTTAGTTCTTTTAGGTACTCTTATCCTCACGTTATGGTACAGAGAATCAAGAAAAAGAGAAATTAAACTTGTACAAATTCACATGGGCAATAAATCGATGCACTGGAATTGCAAACCAGAATTTTTGACTCCCATATATTCATCTTTTATCATCATGCTACATTGCCTCTTCACCAATCCATGATAAAACACATGGAAATCCACTTTCTTCCGTATTATTCATACTGACTTTCTTGTAACATAAGCTACATTTTAGTTAAGGCTAATCTTGCAAAAGAATACGGAAATAGTCAATGGTCTCTTGCTTGGTTATGGTATTGCATATATTAATCATAAGCGGTTTGCGCAGGGCTCTAACTCATCTAGACAAAAAACAGAAAAAAACCTTAGCACTTGAAATGTTTTGCCTAACAATTATCTGCTTGATTTTTCTTCTTACAGAGTTGACTGGTTTTCAATATAATTGCTAAATGATGGGTTGTGTTGGTGCTGAATTACTTCAGCTTCGCTTGAGCCCACCTGCAGCGTGTTTTTGATTATCCTGGTGCGTTACTGAAAGCAGCATTACAATGCATATGTAGCTCCAGCAATACTAATATGAAAAAAATGCACACCTATCTGGAGGGTTTTGTTCAAGTAATCAGTGTTCTTAATTAATCTAAATGTTGTCTGGTGTTAATTAAATTTCCACAGAGAAATAAGAAGAGATAGCACAGAATGTATTAGCTGTCTTGAGTTAATCAGTGAATACTAGGTCAAACAAAGGCCAGTAATATTAGCTAATATTTATTGAGTACATCTTGGCCAGGAACTGAGCAGGTAGATACTTTATATGAAATAACTTATTAAATCATCTCCTTAATCTCAAGAGAAAATACTATTTAATATACACCATTTGGAATTACTGACTGAGAACACTTTAATGCAGTATATAGTAATAGTTAGAAATATTGTCATGAAACTAAGGCTTATAATAATTGAATCATTTTTCACAGATCAGTTGTGCAGTATTTTCGGTGGAATGAAGTGTGCTTGGTTTCAGGCTGACAGCTCCTAGATTTACTCTGTACTCTACTGGCTCTCTGACTATTGTAGTGCTGTTAATGAAGATATCCCATAGCCCACATTCTGCCAGAATACCTCAGTGCTCTTCTCTGGTTGAGGGTCAATTATGACAGTTACAGATTTTAGGTATTCCCTACCAGAGTAGCAGGAGGAGAATCCTGGGGTGACATGTCATACAAAAGTGAGTTCCGCCAAACAACAGCGGTGTGATATCTTCTCAGGGCATTATTGATGGTACTTTATGCCTCCTACCTAGGCCCACATATTAAAAATATTCTAAATACACAAGATGAAGTTCTAAGTAACTGACAGACTCTAATTTTGTCATGATCCCTCATTTTTTCTTTTTAGTAGAAACCATTCTATATCTATTATGAAGCCATGTATGCATATATCACAAACCACATCATATATATATGTGTATATATATATATATATATATATATATATATATATATATAAAATGTTGGCACCAAAATCTCTTTATTATACTTTTTATCTATCTCTGATTCTAGAAGATATTTTGCCCCAGGAAAGTTGGAAAGTTATCATATCTCATCTCTCTTTGTGTCTCCAGAACCTAACACAGTGATAACTATGATTCAAAATATACTGTTGCTCATTGACTTAATCTGTCTATAACTCTCTGGGAAGAAAATATACTATAGTGATGATATGTGGATCTAGAAGAATGGGCTTCTATTATTGAATATATCTACTAATATGACCAACATGGTCTTTGAAAAATAAAGGACATTTATTCACTTGTGTATTTAATTTTAATTGTCTTCTTATTTCTTAAGAGATACATATTTATTATTGAGAATTTAAAATTATACGTTGACAGATATGTATTATTTGTGTTCTATAATTCCAGCCAGTAAATGCTGTGATTTTTGCCTTAAAGAACCATCGTATGCAAATTTATTTGTGTCTCTTCAGCATGTTTTCTAATATATTAGTAACCTAACTCCCTGAAATCTGTACACTGGAAAGCTGAACGATCTGACCTTGGAACTTGAGTTCTGCATGGGAGTTGGAATTCACATGAAATTTGGAAGATGGAAGAGCATAGAGTGAAGTGATGATGACACAGGGAGAGACAAATTTACCAGAAGTGCTTGATTCCTTGAGACAGTCATGATGCAAATTCTAGTGTCTCACCTCAGAATATACAGAAGTGGAGGCCATGGCACAGTGCAGCTCCTGCCAGCACAGCTCTGTGACATTGGTAACACAGTCACCAATGCTTCTTCTAGTTACAAGGCATCTGCACTTTTCTCCCTATATTCTCCCGCACCATTGTGCAATGAAAAGCAATTCTTCAATCTTCTTTTAACAGAATTCCCATTGAAAAAATTAAGCTAACGAGAGCAAACTGTACTTTTCTAAGCAAGTATTCTGACAAGTGGAGTAATATCAGTGTGGTACTGATCTACCGCAGTGTGAGACTGTGAGCCTGTGTTTTCATTAGAGAAGGAACCGTGGACCACCCCTACAGATGGTGGCAAGTAATGATTTGTAGTTTTTTGCAACACAATGTCTACTTAAGGCAAAGCTTTGGCAGAGTGGTCACTAGAAAACCTTATCCTGAAACAAGTGGAACAGGCTGGTAAATTCTAGCTGATAGGAAAATTTTCT